GAGCACAACACGGCTTCCCAGACGCGAGCCAAGGCTCAAGCGGGGTCGCCACGCCCTCTGCGCCAGGGAAGCACACGAATCACGCACCCCGCGCTCCAGCTCGCCCTTGGCTACCGCGGACGGCAGCGCACCACGGCCTTGCTGGCGCTCAGCTCGTCGGCCACGGCCCCACCAGCAGGCGCAGCGCTCGCTGGCTGCCCCGCCGCCAGCCCGGCGCGGGCCCCCTGCGGCCGGCGGCCTCGGCCGAGCCTTGGCCAGCTCGGCGGCCGTGGCCGGCGCCGCCCGCGCCTTTTCTCCTTGGCCTCCTTCGCGCTCTGGTACTCCGCAGGCGGCCGAAGGTGAGCGCGCCGCACGTCCTGCGGCTCAGCAGGATGGTCGAAGGTCGCGCGCCAGCGTCTGCTGGATCTCCACCGCCATCATGGAGTCCATGCCCAGCTCGGCCAGCGTCGATTCAAGCTGAGTTGCTTGAGGGTCGCGGAAGCCAGCATGGTGGCCATGGTGGTGACCAGATCTCCGATCGCCCGCGCCGCGCGCTTCTCCGCCACCACCATGACGCCACGACGGGCGTGCGTCTGCGCCAGGAAGCCGTCCAGCACGTCGAGGCACGAGTGAGGCGCTGCTGCAGCGTGCCGCCGATCTCCAGCACGCGGTCGTCGTCGCGCATGTCGGCCACCAGCCCCACGTCGCCACGGCCCCCACTGCACCGCCGTCGCCGGGCGCCCCGCCGCCCGCCGCGCGCGCGCCACGCGCTCCATCACCGCGTTCGCCAGCCCGTAGTTGGTCTGGCCCGCGTTTGCCCGCGCCGCACGACACGCTCGAGAACACACGAAGTGGCGCAGCGCACGGGCACAGGCGGCGCGACGCCGCGTCCAGCTGCACCGCCGCCGTCGCCTTGCAGCGGAACGATCGGCGAACGCCGCCGCCGTCTGGTTCTCCAAGAGCCGTGTCGCCGCAGGCACCACGGCCAGGTTGAAATGGCGGCGACGGGCGCGACGGAGCCCGCGGCGCGCAGCAGCGCGCTCTGCGCCGCGGGCGTGGAGGCATCGTCGGTGCGCACGAGCGCGCGCACGCCCTTGCGCGCCACTGCTGCAGGCGGCGCGCCTGGTAGCCCGTGGTGACGCCGCGCCGCGACACCAGCACCAGGTGGCGCGCGCCGCGCTGCACCATCCAGTGCGCCAGCTCGAGCCCCAGGCCGCGCCCAGCCCGCCTGCGCACATCGGCGTCGCATAGCGCATGCCCCGCCCCGCCCCGCCCCTCCCCCGCCCTGCGCTGCATCCACCACGAGCACGTAGGAGGCGTCCGGCTGGCAGTAGAAGCGCGGCGCGCGCGGCAGCGTGAGGGCTTGGAGAGGGCGTGGCCCCGCTCCTCCTCGCCTCCCGCACCGCGGATCACCACCTTCCCGATGTGCTTGCCCGCCGCCATGTGCCTGCAGAGAATTGGTTTAGTGGAGCATCAAAACGAAAACAGGGTCGATTTCCTAACACGTTTTCCATCCCAAGCTACTTCATTGTCAACAGATGGCGGCTCGCGGAGATATTCAGGAGGGCACACTAAGTTACAGGACATATATAAGTTAGGCATTTGAAATTTTGTGATATTTGGATTGTTTAAGTCACATAAGTAAAAAATTACAATCGAATTTTCTCCCGGAAGACAGACTAAACACATGATCTATAAATTAAATTGAGTCTTCTGTTTTTACATTCTGTAAATATATTACTAATTATTTAAAAATTAAATGAGTATCGTAACAAAAACTCTTTATAATGAAAACATACAAAGTCTATTTAATCTCTCTTCCGATATGGTATTTCTTATAAATGTGTATAATCCTTTCAAAGTGGAAAAAGCTCTCTTCGGATTCTTTAAAAGCACACCAGCTCAGATTTCAGTTTGCTAGCTCACGAACGGAGGAGAGAACTGTGAAACGAGATTAACCCTTTTAGTAGGAGGAATTTTTCTTGATGTTGTTGGAAACGTTTACAATTAAAGAGAGACACATGAGTACATTCTCCTAAAATTAATATGTCATTTCCCTTTGAAATTTCCGTACAAAAGAACGATTGCCATTGCTTATCAGATTGTAAAATTTTTTATATCAGGCCGAGGTGGTCCAATTCTCTACATGTACAGCCTGTATCATAACTTACATTGACTGTGTTCAGGCATTTTCGAAATTGCAAACCATTCTCAATACTCAATGCACATTACGAAATGGCCGCCGCGGACACCAGCATTCATATAGTCTACGATCGGAAAAGATCATGCCGACCATCCGATTGCACATTACTGCCTGCACTGAAAGCTTGCGAAAAGGAGATCAGTTAAACAGAAAACCAGCAGATACACTGGCCTAGACGTAAATCAAGCGAAAAGATATTTAAGTATAAAAATGATAAATAGATAGCGTCGGGCAACGAGGTGCTACCTCCCCGTCAGCTGCTGACGCGGCCGTCACAAGACGCCATTTGCCGATCCTACGTTGCCATTCGAGCACTCGTGTCGGCCATTTTATGTCAGTTACGTTCCATAACAACACTGCGTTTAGAACACAGAGGCGAGTGTCCGCAGCAATAAAAATCGTTCCACGGAACAAGGCGGAGTTGAAAGCTAAAAGTCGATTCGAAAACAAACCCTACAGACCCACAGAGATTATTAAGACAGCGCAAGAGAAGAAATACTGATCTCAGTAGGGGGGGGGGGCAGCGCCTGTCCCTAGCGCCTCCTCAGCAGCCGCCACTGCTCAACGATATTGTATTCGTAAAATGTTAGTAACGCTTTGTGTTTAAAAACGTGTTATGTAATGTTATGTTAGTTATTCTAATTAAATTCATAAATGCCTTCCTTTGTAATGTCTCTTTCATTGGACAATGTCCAGAGAAGGTTAAGATATATATTTCTTGTGTTTCATTTTATCCCATAAAAGTCTACGCTAATTCCGCTAGAAGAAGCGTTTGCAGAAAGTAAACGAAAAATTTAGAAGGAGTTTCTTAATGAGTTACAATTATATTATTTTTCTCAAACTGAAAATATTAATATTTTATTTTATTTAAGATCGCATCAACTTCTAATCATTGCGACCACTATTTGCGTTCAACGTATGTGGTAATG